CAGCCCGCCCGCACCGCCGCCCGCCCGGCCCAGGCGCCCGCTGGGTCTGCCCACCCCCTCGCCCCAGCCTCCCCGGCGGCTCTCGGCAGGCGGTCGCCCGCGCCCGGTGGATGTGGCTGGCCGCCGCCCCCTCCCTCGCTCGCCGCCTGCTCCTCCTCGGCCCTCCGCCTCCTCCCCTCCTTCTCCTCCTCAGCCGCTCCTCTCGCCGCCGCCGCCGCCTCCACTGCCTGGGCCTCGCCGCGATGCCGGAGAAGCGGCCCTTCGAGCGGCTGCCCGCCGAGGTGTCGCCCATCAACTACAGCCTCTGCCTCAAGCCCGACTTGCTGGACTTCACCTTCGAGGGCAAGCTGGAGGCCGCCGCCCAGGTACGGCGACCCTCGGGCGCCGGGGGGCGAGCAGCGGGCGAGCAGTTAGGCCGCGCCCGCGGGCTGGGCTGGAGGCCGGGGCGGGCTGGGCGCGTGGGCCGCGGGACCGAGCGGGAGGCGGGTGCGGCGCGCCCCTCGGGGCCGGCGGGCTGGGCCCGGCCGGGCGGGGACCGCGCTGCCCCTCCGGGCCGGCACACCTGTGTGCGGCGCCCCCTTCCCCGCCTTCCGGGCCCCGGGCTCGTGGAGGGGCCGGGTAGGGGGTGGGGAGCTGGAGGGGGCTGAGGAGTGTCTGCTGGGTCCCAGCCCCGCGGGCTGGCTTCTGTCTTGCTTGTCCCTTCGCCCGCCTGGGGATAGATTGGAAGGGGCGGTCATCGGGCAGCCTGGGAGCGAGGAGGGGAGCGTCTGGAAGGTTGAGGGGGGCGGTGGGGGGGGGAGTGGAACGAGAATGTTAATCCCAGGCAGCCTCACCGAGTTCTCTCGGCCTGATCCTGCCCAGGGGCCGGGTTTCCAGGATGATCCGCCCCCTCCCCCCTTCCCCTCAGATGACAGTGCAGCAGTGACTTTGTTCTCCCCTAACCTCCAGAGAAGCTGCGGGAGGACCCCGGCTTAGCTTCTCCCGTCTGCCTTGCCCTGTTCCCGTGAGGCTGGTGGGTTTACCGCTGCAGGGGATGGTGGTTTAGCAGTCCCCTCTTCTGAAAGAAAGCTCCTCAGTCTTAGCCTGCCACGGGTGAAAATATTCCATTACTCTTCCTTGCAGTTTTTGGTGAATCATACGCTCCTCCCTCCTCCCCGAAGCATTATCTGGCAGTATTGTTTGATTTTGGAGACCATGAGTATAGATGGCTCACAAAGGTCTCAAGCAGACGTTTATGATAAATAACCATGGTGCATGGTGTGCTGTGAAATCAGAAATGGAAATTGGGAGCTGTTTACCAGCTCTCTGTGAAATGAGTGTTGGTAAATATAATTGGTTCCGTTTCTTTTCCTGCTCCAGCTAGGGCTGGGGAAGCCGGAGTGGGGGAGGAAGCTAGGACCGTAGGCCTCAACCTGAAAGATGAGGGTGTTGCAATGAAATGAGAGAAATGTAGATTAGTATTGGAAGCCAAGAAAGCTTGATATTCAGTTTAAAATTTGGTGTAAAAGTACAGGATTTAAAAGTATGCTGTTAGGGGGCTGGGGAGATGGCTCAGGGGTTAACAGCACTCCCTGGCCGAGTTCAATTCCCAGCACCTATGTGGCAGCTCACGTCTGCCTGTAGCGCCAGTTCCAGGGGATCCGATACCCCCACACAGATAAATATGCGAGCAAAACACCAATGCATATAATAATAATGATGATGATGATGATGATGATGATGATGTATGCGGTTAGGTTTGGGGGATTGGTTTGAAAGCTTGAAGGCTCTAGGTTCTGGCAGTGTCAAAAGGAGAACTTTTGTGAAAGGGAGATGATTTGTGATTTTTCTATCAAGAATATAAATCAGGCTGAGTGCATATGGGGTCTACATTAAGATCTGAAAGTGTTATTTAGGAAACGTGTATGCCAAGTGACTTCGGTGTGATGTATATTGGCAGGGCTCAGATAGAAGGGATTGTAAACAGGAGAGTGTCTTGTGACCTTTGGAAGAAGGACCTAGCTGTGGATGAACTCGAATTATGTCGAAAGACTAACATTACATGAAGCCGGGCAGGGTTTCACAGAGAGGCAGGTGAATCTCTGTGAGTTCAAGGCCAGCCTGGTCTGCAAAGCAAGTCCAGGACAGCCAAGGCTACACAGAGAAACTCTGTCTCAAAAAATAAATAAATAAATAAAATAAAAGGTTAATATGAGTTCATAAATCTGGAAGTTATTATGTATATTGAGTGAAGAAATTTGTTTACTGATTGAGTTTTATTGAAGTGTTAGAACAACAAGCAGCAGCATGCTGCTTTTGCCCCTTGCCCCTTTAAAAACGTGTTTGTGGGTGCTGTGGCATGTATGGTCAGAGGACAAGGGTGAGTGTCTTATCCTTTCACTGTGGGTTCTCCGGTGCCAACTCAGGCTGTTTGACTTCCATAGCAATCTCTTTTACCTCTTTTTACTTCTCTAAAGATTGAAAATAAGCCTGTCTCACACCTCAATCTGAGGAATTCTGAGGCAGAGGAAGGCAGATTTCTGAGTTCCAGGCCAGCTTTCTACAGAGCAAGTTCCAGGTCAGCCAGGACTACACAGAGAAACCATTTCTTGAAAAAGCAAAATAAATAAGTAAACAAATATGTAAAAATATGTGAAAGGTTTTCTGCTATTAGCTGTCAGCAGGATTTACAGGACTTACAGAAACTTAAGTTTCTCTGAGATGGAGATCTAGTTAACCAGGCCGGCCTTGAACTCACTGTCTCAGACCTCAGCCTTCAGAGTAGCTTGGATTCTAGGCATACACCATTGTGTCTGGCTGACTGTGACTTTGATACAAGGAAATAAGTGGATCTTTTTAATAGACTATAAAGATTAACAAGACATTTTTCATTTATTTTGTGTGTTCACCTGTGAGTGCATGTGTGTGTGTGTGTGTGTGTGCCAGTGCGCCCCTGTGGTTGGTACTCTGGCGTGCCTGTGGGCAATTTCTGGGAGCAGGTTCTGTCTTTTCACCATGTGGGCTCTGGGATTGCACTCAAGACAAGCGTCTTGGGCAGTAAATGGCCTTTACCCACTGAGGCATCTTCCTGGCCTACAAAAAAAATTTTTTTTCCCTCCAGAAATTTTTTAAGGCTAGGTGTCAACACAGAGACAGGGTGATAGTGAATCTAACTATCACAAACTAGGAGAGAATTAGACTTTTTACTTTGGAAGTATAAAGGGATTAAAAGTAGTTAAAGCAACTAGATCCATGAACTGAAAGTATGTGTTTACATTGTGGCATTAGAGGGTGCGGTGCACACCTGTCATTCCAGCACTGAGGGAGGCAGAGGTTGGGAGATCTCTGTGAGTTCGAGGCCAGCCTGGTCTACAAAGTGAGTCTAGGACAGCCAAGGCTACGAAGAGAAACCCTGTCTCAAAAAAACCAAAACCAAGACAAAAAAAATTGTGGCATTAGGTGGAAATTAAAAATACTCTAAATTTTAGATTGATGAATGACATTAGGTCACTTAGTTGATATATTAAACAGAGTATCCAAAGTTGCATGGTTGCCTTAGTTGTTTTGGTTGCAGTTATTATTTTTTTCTTTTTTTGAGACAGGGTTTCTCTGTGTAGCCTTGGCTGCCCTAGACTTTCTTTGTAGACCAGGCTGGCCTCGAACTCACAGAGACCCACCTGTCTCTGCCTCCCAAGTGCGGGAGCTATGTGTGTTACCACTGCCCTTCCTAAGTTGCAAAATTTTATGGCAGAGTATTTGTACAAGTTATATATTAGAAAGTTGGTGGATTTTTAACCTGGCCTCAGGAGTTGGACTCCTGTGAGAGGTTTAAAAAAAAATTAGGCAATATGCAATGATGTGAAAATTGTCTTTTTACATGGATGTTACATAGTTTCTTTCTTTTTGTTGTTGTTTTTCTCTGTATACATAGACAGGGTTTCTCTATGTAGCCCTGGCTCTCTTGGAACTAGCTCAGTAGATTAGGCTGACCTTGAATTTAGAGATATACCAGCCTCTGTCCCCTGAGCACTAAGATCAAAGGTGTGAGGCATCACCACGGCCACTCATAGATGATCACCATGCCTGGCGTTCAGCAGGTTTTTCTTGTGTTTTTGAAATGAGGTCTTATACTCTGTCGCTCAGCCTGACTTGGAACTCAACTGTGTATTCCTGGCCATCCTCAAAGATCCTCCTGCTGTTGGAAAGCTAGGGTAATAAGCATGCACCACTGCTCTCAGCTTCAGCAGGCTCTTATGGGCCTAGACAGATTTTTTTTTTTTTTTTTAAGGCTTATAATTCACTTTTTTGGATATTTTGAGTCAGTAGGTGTCTTCAGAAATTTCAAAATCTGATCTATTATTGATGATTAATTAAATTGGATTATAGGCTTATGTGTGTTATTGTAGTCCTTGGTTAAGTAGCTAGAACAAGAGTTAGACACTCTCCTGTGGAAATACTCTGTCCATCTCAGAGAAGTTAACTTCATCCATGAAGCCCAGAAATTGCAGATGACTCCATTGGCAGTAAGGCTAGAGTGACAAATACAGGGCTTAGTTTGGCCAGCTCAAAGCTTGCCATCTAAGTGAATGTTATTGTTAATCCCGTGGTATGACAATTTATGTCCAGATTTTTCATTGTAATCCTGGGTGACAGTTTTTAATTAATTTAAAAAACCAGACTGGGAAAAACAGAGAAAATAATAATATGCTAGCCTTGTGTTAGCTCATTAATTGGCCTTAAATTTGAAGTGTTGTATCTAAATGGTGAGAATGTGTGTTTCAAGGACCTGTGTTCAATGCCCAGCAAATAAACAATGTTTAGAAGACAGCTAATAAGGAATCTGCTCATGTTTTTATGCTCAGCTTTTTAAAAACTGTACCTATTAAATAAAAACTGTAAGGCACTAAATTGGGCCTGGTGGCTCATGCCTGTAATTTTAGCCTTTAGGGGGCAGGAGAATTAATTATCACAAGTTCAAGGCCAGTTCCAAATCAGCCAGGGCTGCATAGTGTGACCCTGTCCTGAAAGCCAGAGACAGACAGACAGACTGACACACAAAGAAAGAGATAAAGAGACATAAAGAGAAACAGCAAGGGAAGCCCAGCTGGTGGTAGAGGGCTTGAGCAGGGTGTAGGCTGTGCAGGGGATTCAGGCATCGGCCCAGCAGCAGCTCCCCTCAGAGTGCAGCTACTGTCTGAAGTCACCTGACGTTGAATTCTGTAGTGAATTTTCCATATAATTCAAACTTGCCTTTGAAACATTTAAACTTTCAAAAAAGTATTTACTGGTTTACCATTCATTCTCTAGATTTTCCCTTTTGAAGTACTGGCTCATTCTGTCTGTCCGCTAAGCTAGTATACTTAAAGGAGCTACCTCAAACTCCATG